GTGGAAACTTCTTAGTTTGGTATTGGAGATATGAATTAATGATTGAGAATGTTAATTATGAATTACAGATATAAATTATGAATTACAGAAGATAATTAGAATATTTTATAAATTAGATATTGAAAAATTTGGAAGTGCAGAAATGTGGTTTAAGTGATGGAGATTCATTTCTTATTTTGGGAATTAAGTAGTTTTAATTGAGAAAGTTCAGTCTTGATCTTCATCATATTTAGTGAGGTGTACCAACATGCATTGTGTTTTGTACTGCATGCTTATATTATGATTTCCTATTTAAATTTGTGAACTAATTTTTTTTAATTATAGAAATTTAATTGGTTCAATGAATTTCAGTTTAATTATTGAAGTATTTAAATTACTGTAATTTAATTGATTCAATTAGTTTCAATTTCATTATTGAACTATTTAAATTACTGAAATTTAATTGGTTCAATCAGTTTTAATTTAATTATTGAGGTATTTAAATTATTGAAACTTAATTGATTCAATCAGTCCCAATTTAATTATTCAAATATTTAAATTATTGAAACTTAATTAATTCAATTAGTTCCAATTTTATTAATGAAATATTAAAATTATTGAAATTTAATTTGTTCAATCAGTTTCAATTTAATTATTGAAACTTAATTGATTTAATAAGTTTCAATTTAATTATTGAAATTTGATTGGTTCAGTTAGTTTCAATTTAATTATAGAAACTTAACCAATTCAATTAATTTCGATCTACTTTCAATTAACTAATTTTTAAATAATACCTAATATTTAAATAATAATAATAATAAAAATAATTATTTTATGCAACGACGAGTATAATAATAACAATAATATTAAGAACAAAATAAAAAGCTAGAATTATCACCTAACAGTGACAATGTAAAACATTGAAATAAAAGTTTACTTAAACAAATGATTTATGAATATCAGCATAAACAAGTTCATCGTATAAATTATGATAAATAGAAACCGAAGGATGTAGAAAAAGCATTTTCTCTTGAAAAGAGGTCGCGAAACAGTTCTGGGAATGAGAAAGTCGGAAAACTCTCTTACCAACGTTATTAATTTAATTACTCATCACGTGAATAGAGAACCGAATGGGGAGAAAACGCAAGAATTAATCAGTGCCTTTGTCAGTGAATTTTCTTCATTAAGAAGGCCACTTTTTCTTTTATTCAGAGACGTATAGATTAGATGATAAATTTAATATGACCCAGAAATACAAAGAGTTATCGATCGATTAATTCGAGCGCCATTTTGAAAACGTCGCGATCAGTAATTTCACTTTCATTAAATCTAGCAAATTATTTTTATACATATTTAATTTAATGTACAAAAATTTAAAAACAATATATACTTAAAAGTTATTGTTTAATATAAGTTTATATATTTAGTAAAACTATTTGTAGCTTGTAATATAAAATTGTTTCTAATAAAATAAATGAAAAATTACAATAATATTATTCGAATATTAATATCTTTACTCATATAAGTAAAAATTTGTACGTCTTTCAAACTCAAAGAAGAGATCTTTTTGAGCTTGCACAATAAAACAAATTTAGTGAAGTACCGACTTAAACTACTCGCCATATAGAGAACGTTCAAATGTGTAACTCGTGTACTTTCGAATATTAAATTATAAAAATTAATTAATTTAAAATCCGTGTTAGAAATCAACATTTTTGTGTACAATTTTCATGAAACACTGTACAAATAAATTATAAACATATAAAGACTTATACAGCAAAAAACAGAAACGAAATATAATAAATGTAAAACGTTTCTGTCCACAAATACAGAACACTTTACTATTACAAAAAATTTGACTGCAGTATTAATTATTCTACTCTAATATGTATTATTTTTTTAGTTTAAAGAGTAACTTCTAAACCCAGTTCTATGCCCTTAAAAGGACTTCTAAATCAGAGTGTGACAGTTTTACGCGCGACAATACAACGGATGACAGTTCTACGCATGGCGATATAACGCGAAAGAATTCTACGCGTGGCGATATTACGCGAAGGAATTCTACGCGTGGCAATATAACGCGAAGGAATTCTACACGTGGCGATATAACGCGAAGGAATTCTACGCGTGGCGATATAATGCGAGGGAGTTCTACGCGTGGCGATATAACGCGAGGGTATTCTATGCGTGGTAATATGACCCGAAGGAATTCAACGAGTGGCGATATAACGCGAAGGAATTCTACGCGTGGCGATATAATGCGAGGGAGTTCTACGCGTGGCGATATAACGCGAGGGTATTCTATGCGTGGTAATATGACCCGAAGGAATTCAACGAGTGGCGATATAACGCGAAGGAATTCCACGCATGGCGATATAATGCGAAGGAATTCCACGCGTCGCGATCTAACGCGAAGGAATTTTACGCGTGGCAATATAACGCGAAGGAATTCTACGCGTGGCGATATAACGCGAAGGAATTCTACGCGTGGCGATATAATGCGAGGGAGTTCCACGCGTGGCGATATAACGCGAAGGAATTCAGTGAGTGGCGATGTAACGCGAAGGAATTCCACGTGTGGCAATATAACGCGAGGGAATTTCACGCGTGGCAATGTAACTCAAAGGAATTCAACGCCTAGCAGTATAACGCCAAGGAATTTTACGCGTGGCAATATAACGCGAAGGAGTTCCGCGCGTGATAATATAACGCGAGGGAATTCCACGCGTGGCATTATAACGCAAAGGAATTCCACGCGTGGCATTATAACACAAAGGAATTCCATGCGTGGCTATATAACGCAAGGGAATGCAACGAGTGGCGATGGAATATACGGTAATACAGAGTGTGACAACTTTTTAAATTAATCAATTTAAAAAACAACGAGCTCTTAATGAATGAATTAATGAATCATTGTTGCCATTATTAATACGGTCCGGGGTCCATTGAAGAATACATCCAACCCTGCATCGATCCGCGATAAGCACAATCTGCGTGTAAAGTTTCATCGAAACCAGGATGAAGAAATAAAGATCCATGAAAGTGCAAGGATAAAATTGTAGCTGGTATCTGCTGTCGTTTCGATCGTTTTAATTAGTGGTTTAAGGATCGGGCCTCAAATCCTTCCGGCTGACAATAAGGCACTGAGGGCCGTAAGCAGCCAGTTTTATGCCCATACGAGAAAATTACAAAGATATCGAGTAGCGCAATTTAATACGTCGTAAATTCGCCATCTCGACTCCGAGTATATACGCTTCCTTACGTAGGTGCCAACGTTGCTGCATTAATATTAAAAGGCATATATGCGCGATTGGAAGCCAACCGAGATTGAGCCTTCTATCGTCGTCGCTGTTTTTCGATTAGATCGTACAACGATCCTTTCGCTTCTCTGTCCGATAAATTTCAATGCGAAACGACAGGAATATCTTTATGCTTACTGGGAATAATTCATGTTTAGGCCACGCGACAATTGCTTCGTCTTAAATAAAATTAAAATTGATTGAAACGTAAGGTGTACTAACAAATTATCTCATTATACGTTTCGGAGTAGAATTCGATATGACGAGTAGGTATTACAACTTTGGCAATACCGTATGCAGTAACATAACTTGTGACAAGTCAGCACGTGCCAATTTTATATATGATAATGCTGCACGCGATATAACGCGAAACAATTTCACTTCAGTAATTCTACGAGTGGTAATATAACACGCGTTTATATGTCATGTACGAAAATTCTATGCATAGCAATTTCTTGCGTGGAAATTCTACACGTTACAAAGTGACGCATCACTATTATACACGTGGCGATATAACGTGATGGAAATCAACGACTGGTGGTGGAATGCGCGGTGATACAGTGCGTGACAGTTTTACCTGTGATAATACGACGGACGTCAGTTCTACGCGTGGCAATATAACGCGAAGGAATTCTGCGCGCGGCGATATAACGCGAGGGAATTCTACGCGTCGCGATATAACGCAAAGAAATTTTACGCGTGGCGATATAACGCGAAGGAATTCTACGCGTGGCGATATTACGCGAGGGAATTTTCCGCGTGGCGATATAACGGGAAGAAATTCCACGCGTGGCGATAAAATGCGATGGAATTCTACGCGTGGTGATAAAACGCGATGGAATTCTACGCGTGGTGATATAACGCGAGGGAATCCTACGCATGGCGATAAAACGCGATGAAATTCTACGCGTGGCAATATAACGCGAGGGAATTCTACGTGTGGCGATATAACGGGAAGAAATTCCACGCGTGGCGATAAAACGCGATGGAATTCTACGCGTGGCAATATAACGCATGGGAATTCTACGCATTGCGATATAACGCGAAAGAATTCTACGCGTGGCGATATAACGCAATAGAATTCGACGCATGGCGATATAACGCGAAGGAATTCTACGCATGGCGACATAACGCGATGGAATTCAATGAGTGGCGATATAACGCGAAGGAATTCTACGCGCGTCGATATAAGGCGAAAGAATTCAGCGAATTGCAATACAGCGCGAAGAAATTCAACGAATTGCAATATAACGCGAAGAAATTCAACGAATTGCAATATAACGCGAAGAAATTCAACAAATGGTAGTACATCATGCGGCGATACAGAGAATGGCAGGTCCACACGCGACGGCACATACATAATAATTCTACACCTTATAATATAACGCGAAAGAATTCAGCAAGGAACGGTTCATCATATGGCAATATAGAAAGTGCCATAAAAATGTAATTAAGATCGAAACGAAGATTAACAAAATTGGACCCCAAAATGTAAATCAGAAAAGATGTAAAAATAAAAGGAAGGTCAGGAAATTGACCCGTCATTTAACATAACAAATGTTAGCAATAAAAAAGTGATCACAGCAATCTCTGCTGTAAATTCTATAAACACAGCGGTGTCATTGATCCAGATTGAATCAAAGACATAAAAAACCAAATTACACAATGTAAATCACAAAAGGTATAAAATTTATAGAATAAAGGTCTCGAAGTTGAACTTACCGAGCATCTTGCTGAGATCAGCATTGTGGAGATCAGGATTCTCGTCGGCCAATTTCTTGCGCTCGACCTTTGCCCAGACCATGAAGGCGTTCATCGGGCGACGTATCCGTTGCTCCTTCAGGCTCCTCTGGGCCGTGCTGCCGGGATGGCACATCTTCACTCCAGCAGGAATCGGCGAGATGCCTTGTTGATATTCCAGAGACGGGCCGGAAGCCAACCAAGACATATCCTCCAGCCGTTGTTGCGCCGGACCGCTCAACATTCCTGGTATCTGAAGCATTTCCGTGTTAATCGGACGATCAATCACTGCGATCACTCGTTTCTTGATAATTACTCATTCGGTGAGTAATTATCGCGAGGTTTCCTGACTCATTGACGAAAATACGTGCATGGAAATTAAACAGAGGCTACGTTATTGTTACTGATTTTATTAGGACCTCGATTCTTGGCACATAAAGACTAGGGTGTAATATAAAACAGTATTATACTATATTATAATTATTATTATATTGATATAATTATTAGTATTATGATAATATAGAGTATTAGTATTACAACTTTGTCCTAGAAAATATTTTTACTGACGGCTTAAGTTACTCTGAAACGTTCTAATTACAAAAATTCGACCAATTCTTTTAAAATTATTTCCCTGTTACTAGTCGCCATATTATCTGCTGCACTGGGTTTATGTATCATACGTAAAATAAAAATTTAGTTAAGGACTTATTTTAAATTGTTTTGTATTAATAAATGGATTACGTTGCAATTTTCACTAAATTTTCATCTGTACTTCAAAATGGCATAAATACTATTTTTAGATATTTTTATATAAGTCAGACTCTACTTCAAAATCAGACATTGCTTTCTGTAATTGGCAATCAGTTACTTTATATTAAAAATGCTATCAAAGGATTTATACAATGCTTTTTGATCATATTTTAAACTTCAAACTGATGTATCAAAAATGCAATTTTACAGTTTGCATAAAAAATTGCAATTTTGATTTTATCATCACAGCCTGATACTTTATTTTTGCAAACATTTTGTATGCGATAACTGCAAAGTTTACACCGTACTAAAATCATGTAATTCATGAGATATAGTCTGACGATTTACGATTGGTTTTGTAGACTAATATATCATAAATTCATAAAATTTCACGGTCCACATATAAGAAATGCTACCTTGTAACGATGAGTCTCGTTATTAATAACAAGATTAATAATGTATAAGTATATACGAAAAAGGAAAATGTAACAATTATAAGAATCATAGAAAGTAATGAAATGAAAGCTAGACTCGGTACTTGGTTTTTTCATTTTTATTGACATATTAATTACAAGTGAAAGAAGGTATTGGTCTGTTAACGAGCGATAGCTAAAGAGGCCTCGACAACAATAATAAGTAAAATCTAACACTCGCTGTCAGACTTGTTGAAATCGAGTTCGTAATTAGATTGCAATTGCGATGAATGATGTACGTGAAAATAACTTGTGGCGATAACGATGGTTGATGTGCTTGGTGAATGTACGATTATATTGATAAATACTGAAGTTTCGTAAAACGATGGCTGCTTGAGTGACCTTTATGTAGGAAGAAGAGTGTTAATCGATCATGGTTAAAATAAAATATTAATTTGAATTTATGTGGGAAATATTTGGTCAATTCAAAGAATTATGAAAGTATATTAGGTTAGGTTTTAAATTTAAGTGAAGGTGAAATGATATAATCTCATAATATGTAAGGTTAGGTTCAAAGTTTAAATATCTGAGTTATAAAATTATAGAACATGATAATTTAGATTTGAACTTTCAATGCAAGTTAAATGATAAAACTATGTAATGTTAGGTTAAGTTTAATGTTTAGATGAAGTTTGAATGCAAGAAAAATGTAAAATGTTAGGTTAGGTTCGAAGTTTAAATAATATCTGAACTATAAAATTATAGAACATGATAATTTAGATTTGAACTCCCAGTGCAAGTTAAATGATAAAACTATGTAAGGTTAGGTTAAGTTTGAAGTTAGATGAAGTTTAAATGAAAGAAAAATGTAAAATGTTAGGTTAGGTTCGAAGTTTAAATAATATCTGAACTATAAAATTATAGAACATGATAATTTAGATTTGAACTTCCAATGCAAGTTAAATGATAAAACTATGTAATGTTAGGTTAAGTTTGAAGTTTAGATGAAGTTTGAATAAATGAAAAATGTAAAATGTTGGGTTAGGTTTGAAATTTAAATGATATCTGAACTATAAAATTATAGAACATGCTAGTTTAGATTTGAACTTCCAATGCAAGTTAAATGATAAAACCATGTAATGTTAGGTTAAGTTTGAAGTTTAGATGCAGTTTGAATGAAAGAAAAATGTAAAATGTTAGGTTAGGTTCGAAGTTTAAATAATATCTGAACTATAAAATTATAGAACATGATAATTTAGATTTTAACTTTTAATGCAAGTTAAATGATAAAACTATGTAATATGTTAAGCTAAGTTTGAAGTTTAGATGAAGTTTGAATGAAAGAAAAATGTAAAATGTTAGGTTAGGTTCGAAGTTTAAATAATATCTGAACTATAAAATTATAGAACATGCTCGTTTAGATTTGAACTTCCAGAGCAAGTTAAATGATAAAACTATGTAATATGCTAAGTTAAGTTTGAAGTTTAGATGAAGTTTGAATAAAAGAAAAATGTAAAATGTTAGGTTAGGTTCGAAGTTTAAACAATGTCTGAACTATAAAATTATAGAACATGATAATTTAGATTTGAACTTCCAATGCAAGTTAAATCATAAAACTATGTAATGTGTTAGATTAAGTTTGAAGTGTAAAAGAAGTTTGAATAATAAATATATGTAAACTGTTACGTTAAATTGGAAGTTTAAATGAAGTTTGAACGATAAACCTACGCGACATGTTCAGTGAAGTTTGAAATTTAAATGAAGCCTAAACGATAAAACTAACGTATCAAATTACATACGAAGTTTAAGCGAAAATGTCAGTATCCAAATGACACATAACACTTTAAAAAGCTCAGAATCACATCCTCTCTTAACGATATCACATTATCTGTCCACGTATCACTAATTATTCGTTTCATTGATATGATGTATATGATTGATATTTATCGATACAGTCATGTCATTACAAACATCCCACCCAGAGTAATCAAAACCCAGCAGAAAATTAATCATAAAAATTTATTCGAGAGTTAATCTCGCAAGCTCGAAAAAAGAAAACTCTCTAGCGCGATAAACTCGCGTTAAATGTCACGTTCGAAGCACTATTCCTCTCCGTTTATTTCGCCCGAGCTGGCGAGGAACGTTGTAAAACAGCCGGAACGTAGGTGTGCACGCGTCACGTTCGGGCGGAAACAACGTTCGATGAGTGAAACAAAAAGGAGAATAAAACGGAAGGAAAAAGAAATACGCGGCCCTGTTTCGAGGAACGGTCTTCAAACGCGATCGCAAACGCAGACAACACGTACCGAAATGATTTGGGTATCGATGGGCATCGAACTGTCATTGCCGTCGATGTTCGACTCGATGTCGTAGGTCCTCGACGTGGGTGTCGCATAAAGCGAGGAATGAAGTGCCAAGAGTCCAGGAGAACCGCCATAACTGCTCACTGGTGGTGGTGTCACCTCACCCCTGTCATAATTATCCAGCATCCTGTAAATGTAAATGGATTCTCATAGCAATCGATATCTTAAACGTTATGATGCAGGAAATTGAATTAGGAGAGATTGGGACAAGTTGATATAGGAAAATATTGATATGAGGCAGATCGATATAGGGGCTATCGATATACAGATTGATATTAGGACAAATTGATACTGTGTTCACTTGCTTGTGAATATCAAGCAAAATCGCTATCAAGATAAGATGATAGGGTTGCAAGTTAATATTTTGATAAGTTGATACCCAAACACGTTAATATGTAGGCAAGTTCGTATAAGGACAAGTTGATATGGTGACAAATTCGTGTGGAAGCGTATTGATATAGGGCCAAATTGATATAGAGGCAAGCTAATATTGGAACAAATTGATATTGGGACAAAATTGATACCGTGGCAAGTGGATAGCAAGGAACATCGATGTCAAGACAAGTTGATAGGGACGCAAGTTAATACGAGGACTAGTTGATATCTGGACAGGTTAATATGGAGACAAGTTCATATAGGGACAAGCAGATACACGGGCAAGTTCATATGGAGGTAAGTTTACATTGAGACAAGTTGATGCGGCGACAAATTCGTATGGAAGCATATTGATATGGGGGCAAGTTGATATAGAGATAAGCTGAAAGCGGAACACATTGATATTGGGACAAAATTGATACCGTAGCAAGTGGATAGCAAAGAACATTAATGTTAAGACAAGTTAATAGGGACGCAAGTTAATATTGAGACAAGTTGATATGGGGGTACGTTGACATAGGGACAAGTTAATAGCAAAGAAAGTCGTTAATAGGACAAGTTGATAGGACACAAGTTAATATCGACATAAGTTGATATGGGGCAAGTTGATATCGGAACAAATTGATATTGGAACAAAATTTATACCAAGGCAAGTTGATAGCATGGAAAGTCGGAATCAGGACCAGTTGATAGCAAGACAAGTTGCTACCAGGACAAATCAATATCAAATCAAATTGATACCGGCACAAGTTGATATCAAGGTAAATTGATACTGAGACAAGTTAATCATGAAGCAAGTTAATAACGGGGTAAATTGATACCGAGACAAGTTGATACTGGGGCAAGTCGATACCAAGGCTGGTTAATAAAGTGGCAAATTGGTTCTGGGGTAAATTGCTACCAATACAAGTTAATACCAAAGCAACTTAATACTGAAGTAATTTGATACCGAAGCAAGTTGATACCGTAGCAAGTTGATAGCAAGGCTAATTGATAACAGGACAAATTGGGACCAAGGTAAATTGCTACCCGTGCAAGTTGATATCAAGACAACTTGATATTGAAATAAATTAATACTGAAGTAAAGTTGATAGCAAGGCAAATTGATAACAGGACAAATTAGTACGGGGGTAAATTGCTAGCGATGCAAGTTGATACCGAGGCAACTTAATACTGAAGCAAGTTGATACTGTAGCAAGTCGATAGCAAGGATAATTGATAACAGGACAAATTGGTACCGAGGTAAATTGCTACCAGTGCAAGTTAAACCCGGGGAATGCTGACATCGAGACAAATTATAGTGGGATAAATTACTACCCAAGGCAAGTTGAAATTGAATTAAATTGACATTAAGAAATTGATATCGAGGCAAGTTGGTAGTGAACAAAAATTGATACAGAAGCAAATTAATATCTTGGTAAATTGGTACTGGAACAAATTGATACTAGGACAAATTTTTAATAAAATTTCGTTTGAATACTTATTGAGAGATTTATAAAATCACCCACTTCTAGTAGTTCAAATCGCAAATTCAACATGGCGCAAAAAGTGTGATAGTGTGGTAACAATAATAAATAATAGAAAATAATAAAATATAATTTATAAAATTGTGACGAATATGCTTGAAAATATTTGATAAGACGTTTTCGAGGTTGTAAATTAAAAATGTGATGAGAAACAAGTTATGTACATGATAAATCTAGCACATGTGTTATTGTATATCTACCAAAGAGGTATTATGGGAACGTTGAAATCTCGTGAGACGAAATATTGTGCATGAATTGAAGATTCACTGAACGGATTAAGTTCAAAGTTTCATTGTCACCTTGCTGAAATTAGCTCGGTGTGACACACTTGTAGACTTCTCAATCTGTCTGGAGACTCCATATAACACTTGATGTCCTGAATTAGTTTGACTTTTTGTTAAATCACGCTTGAAGGCAAAGTAATTACGTCTTGTTACTGAGTTTATATGCTTCACATTATATGATATTCGTGTTCAGGGTGTTTCGACTTGGTACACTCGAAAGAGGGGTGAATAAAATTGATTCATAAAACTGAATTTGAATATTTTTCAAGTATTTGTAAGAGTTTCTTCAACAATATCTTCTTAAAACTTCTCGATAAATAATAATATTTTACAGGCAATTTAGCTTGAGTTTTACGTTTTGACCTAACATTATATCCTAAAAATCTGATTAAACACCTTTTTTTGAAACTCCGGTGTTTTTATTATTTTTTTCTCTCAAATTGTTACAGCACAAGAGTGTTCAGCTAAAATTTTAGGTCCTTATATTAAAATCGAAACAAATTTTTTATTTTTCTGTAAAAACCTCCACTTTCTAAATTTTTTCATATTCAACGTTTAAATTTCATTTTTGTAAAAAATATTTTGCGACTGTGGTTTTAAACGTCCACATGTGCCAGGTATGTTATCCTGGTGAAATGTCACCGTTAAGGGATAAAAAATAAGTGTTTTTTACAACAAATCTTATAAGAGATAATAAACATTTAACATGAAAACGTAAACTTTTCGAAGAGGGTTAAAATATATCCCATACATAAAAAGCCTAAACAAGAAGTGACACAGTTTTAACCTCCCTAACTCCAAAGTATCAATTACTATGAATTATAGAAATATAAATTTTCCCCTTTTTCCGACGATTAGTTAACGGTAGAATCGCCAACACATCCGGCCAATAAAATAGCAAACTGCGTACCGTTTCGCTCGAACGAATGCTTGCTTGTTTGTCATGCGAACCACATTAAGCTGTTCTTCTTCGATACGTTCAGGCATGAATCGGATCCAGAGTCTGAGAGGTATTCAAGCATCTCGGTAATCCAATCGATTGATTCTATTTTCCGGAGGTTTAAGTCAAATAAATTTCTCTTATTGTCCGAAAGTAAGAAGCGTTTACGTTAAATTCCTTAAGAGGTGACTATTATTTTCATGAAGTTATTGCTTCGATTATTTGAAACTTGCTCTATCAATGAATTTCGATACAAATTCTGAATACGTTGATTTATAAATAAATTTCAAGATAAATTTTTGGATAAAGTGTTCTACGGATGAATTTCAAGATAAATTTTTAGATACATTGCTCTATAGCTAAATTTCTATATAAATTACTCGGTAGATGAATTTCGGAAAAAAGTTTCTGAATAAATTAATCTGTAAATGAATTTTGAGATAAATTTTTAGATAAATTGCTCTACAGATGAATTTCGAGGTAAATTTTTAAAATCTGATTAAACACCTTTTTTTGAAACTCCGGTGTTTTTATTATTTTTTTCTCTCAAATTGTTACAGCACAAGAGTGTTCAGCTAAAATTTTAGGTCCTTATATTAAAATCGAAACAAATTTTTTATTTTTCTGTAAAAACCTCCACTTTCTAAATTTTTTCATATTCAACGTTTAAATTTCATTTTTGTAAAAAATATTTTGCGACTGTGGTTTTAAACGTCCACATGTGCCAGGTATGTTATCCTGGTGAAATGTCACCGTTAAGGGATAAAAAATAAGTGTTTTTTACAACAAATCTTATAAGAGATAATAAACATTTAACATGAAAACGTAAACTTTTCGAAGAGGGTTAAAATATATCCCATACATAAAAAGCCTAAACAAGAAGTGACACAGTTTTAACCTCCCTAACTCCAAAGTATCAATTACTATGAATTATAGAAATATAAATTTTCCCCTTTTTCCGACGATTAGTTAACGGTAGAATCGCCAACACATCCGGCCAATAAAATAGCAAACTGCGTACCGTTTCGCTCGAACGAATGCTTGCTTGTTTGTCATGCGAACCACATTAAGCTGTTCTTCTTCGATACGTTCAGGCATGAATCGGATCCAGAGTCTGAGAGGTATTCAAGCATCTCGGTAATCCAATCGATTGATTCTATTTTCCGGAGGTTTAAGTCAAATAAATTTCTCTTATTGTCCGAAAGTAAGAAGCGTTTACGTTAAATTCCTTAAGAGGTGACTATTATTTTCATGAAGTTATTGCTTCGATTATTTGAAACTTGCTCTATCAATGAATTTCGATACAAATTCTGAATACGTTGATTTATAAATAAATTTCAAGATAAATTTTTGGATAAAGTGTTCTACGGATGAATTTCAAGATAAATTTTTAGATACATTGCTCTATAGCTAAATTTCTATATAAATTACTCGGTAGATGAATTTCGGAAAAAAGTTTCTGAATAAATTAATCTGTAAATGAATTTTGAGATAAATTTTTAGGTAAATTGCTCTACAGATAAATTTCGAGGTAAATTTTTAGGTAAATTGCTGTACAGATGAATTTCAAGATAAATTTCTGGATAAATTGCTCTAAAGATGAACTTCTAGATAAATTGCTCTATAGATAAATTTCTACATAAATTGCTCGATAGATGAATTTCGGAAAAAATTTCTGAATAAATTAATCTATAAATGAATTTTGAGATAAATTTTTAGGTAAATTGCTCTACAGATAAATTTCGAGGTAAATTTTTAGGTAAATTGCTGTACAGATGAATTTCAAGATAAATTTCTGGATAAATTGCTCTACAGATAAACTTCTAGATAAATTTCTGGATAAATTGTTCTATAGATAAATTTGAAAAAAAAAAGTTTATTATTTTTTGTCAGAAGTTCACACTTCCATTTCTTTAAACTTATTTGTAACATTTTTTTATAACCAGTATGATTCTATATAAGTAACTCAATATTGTAAAATAATAATTGTAAATTTTGCATA